CTCTCCCCCCCCCCCCGAAAAGTGTGAGGGGCAAATTAGCGACTTCTTCCCGGTGGATCTTGTTGAAAAGTTTGTCCGAAAGAGAGAGAGAGAGAGTGAAAACGGCGAGTGTGGAAGAGACGAGCGTGGGTGGGGAGGGGAGCCGGGCTGCCGAGGATGGTCACTTGGCCTGGGGCTTTGAAACCATTGCCTGTCCTGCTTATGACACGTTCAGATTCCCAGCTTCGTGCACCCAGGAGGTGACGGGGACAGTTGGCCAGACACCCACTCTTCTGGTACGGTGGGCGATGATGATGATGATGGTTTCTCTTCACCTCCCCCTTCCCCCCCCCCCGCCCCCGCGCCACCCTGTAGTTGAAAGATCACTGTAGTTGAAAGATGGAGCAGCCACAAGCCTTCTAGGCTTCCATGTGGCTCCGACAGCGGCACCTCCTCCCCGGTGGCAGCAGCCACGGGATCATCGCCCGGCCTCGGGGGTGGAGAAGAGGAGGAGTGGGGGAGAGAGTAGCGGTAGCGGAGACGGTGGCGATATAGGGAGGTGTTTGCTGCCGGTCTATTTCACTCAATCTCGCCGGGGAGGCAAAGGGTGTGGAGGAGGGGGAGGGGGCAGATCCGGCATCTCTGCCCTCCCCCGCTCTTGTGCGCCCTCCATATCTGCCTGCCCTCTTTTGCTCCCGGCTCTCCTACAAGGTGTTGTGCAGACTTTTCCCGTGGGGAGGTCGTGATTTGTATATTACATATTGTTCCTCTCCTCCCACTAACCTTCCCTCCCCCCCCGCGCAAGATGGACTCTGTCTCTCCCTGTGTCTTGTCAGCCTTTAAGATCGACAAGATGCAAACTTGATGATGACCAGAAGGGGAAAAAAGAGGGGGCAAAGAAGCTCCGGGCTTATCTTCTTTAGCTGTACTCCATGTTTAATAACCTTCGCTTTCACCCCCACTCCCCAGTGGCCTTGCCTACACTTTGCATCGTGGGGTAGGTGGCTGGCCGAGTGGGGGTGGCTTGCAAGCGAGTGTTCTCTTCCTGAATCCCCGGGTACTGGAGGGAAGCAGGCAGGCAGGCAGGTCTGCTTAATATTTTTGTCTCTGGATTGCGATGGCGAGAAGCGAGGGGGAGGGAAGAAATCTTAGGAAGGATCGACCGGTGGGGATTACCTGAAACTATGCTACAAGGTTTCAGGGTCTCGCGTGGACCTCTTACATTCAGCCTGGATCTCGGATTTTATTTAAAGGATGTTAGTGATGTTGGTTAAATTTATCCACGCAACTGATTGCCTGATTACATGTGCACACTGGAGGGCTTCCTGTTTTGATTCCCGTTCCTTATTGGAGTTCAACTTCTCTCAGCATTTGCCATCTTGGCTGTATTATACATGAAGAAAAGAGGAAAAGAACAATCCACCTTGCTGAGGCACTACAGTATAAGATTTCTCCCACTTGACGAGCCCCCAGTGCCCTCCATAAACATGATGTTTGTTTAATTTTACTGCTTCTGTTTGCCCCTTTTTGTTTTCAAGAGTTAAGGTCTGACTTGGGTTTAAATAAGAACTTTGTTGTTGTATGGCTTGCAGTGGTAGGGAAAATTTAGTAGAAGGTTTGGGATTTCTCTAGCCTCACTGCATTGTAGGCCAGTTACAGTACCATAAAATCATGATGTCCTGATGATATGCCTTTATTTGATACTTTGTAGGTCACTATCACATGACAAAGGCTTGGAGACAGCTTCATTTTCCTCTGCCTGCTTGTAATTTCCATTTGGCTTCCTGGGTAAGTATGTAAACTGTACACACACAGGAAAAGAGTATCATTGTTATTAATCAGATACAGGCTGTCTTGCTCTTCCATTTGAGATGGAAGATACTTCTTCAGCTCTCAGTCCTCCCAGATAACATGTCTCCTAATGCTTTCAGAAGATGTGGCAGTGTGCAGTCTCTCTTTTTATTTGTTTGTGCTGTATAGTGTATCTATTTTAATAAGGAAATTAGCTGGTTAAAAATGGCAGAGCTTGTTATTAATATTTGTTTCAGAAAAAAATCATTTAAAGCCCCCTCTCACAGAAGTAACTATAATCCACGTTTTATAAAATGAATTGTAGCTTAAGGAAAAGTTCAAATCTACAAAATATATGGAACCGTCAAATTTTGCCTAGATGGAAGCAGTCAGAATAATTTCAGGGTTATGTATTTTAAGAGGTAGTAGAGGCATCTTTCAGAAAGTGGGAACAAAGTACTTTTAACTTTAACACAGAAGACATTCATTAGTGTATCCATTTTCTTTGAAAATCTCTCTTACATTTATTTTTCTGTCAATAGTAAATATAGGTCAATTTGATAGCGATTAATTTGACAGTATTCTCAATAATGTTAATACTGTAAATGTTACTGGTAAAATTTTGAACTATGCAAAAATAAATTACAGCTTGTGAAATTCAACTTCCAAATTATTGAGTGATAGTCTCAAGGCAATTCTGTTTGAATATAATGATTATGCTGGCATGGGTAGTGCAAAACATACAGATCTATCCAATTATTTAAGACAATAAATGTATATGTATGGGGTATTGTGTTTTTAAGTTTTATAAACAAACAGTTCTTCAACACTTAGTGATTATTTATAATCCTCTAAGAGTGGTTTAGGAATAGAATCACAGGGATACTTTAAAACTTTATCTAGTGGCATGAGAGTTATTCCAGATAATAACTGTGATAGTTAAGGATCCCTTACATGAGGATTTGGAAAGGATGACAGAACAGGCTCTCACTGCATCCCCTTCTTATGCCTGTCTGAGAAGTTATGAGAAAGGAAAGGTGATCATCAGCTCTTACTCTGGGGTCTATAGATCATGCTTGATATCTCAGTTGCTAAGCCACAGAATTCACAGGAACAGTCTTGGACTTTGAAATGCTCACTTCTAGAAAAACATTCTTCATATAGTAGAACAACATCCATTGGTATACAGTTTTATTAGATGTATTGGTCTCAAACAGTAAGTGAAATTTATAGCTGTTAATCTGGGTTAGAAATGTGTTCCCCTCCAGAAAATGATAGCATTTCCCATGATCCCTCACCATTAGCTGTTACAGCTAGGGTTAATGGAAGTTATAATCAAACAACATTTGGAGGGCTACACATTCCTCACCCCCTTTTAAATGACATACACAGTATTTGCTGCAAAAGGTTGTGATGAGAATGTGTGGGGCACTGTATATTGTAGATAAAACCTAAATCTGACACATGTTTTCCAATATTTATACTAGGCAAGGTGGTGGAATGTATTGTATAAGAAAATGAGTTAACCATCAGTAATCTCATGTGACCTCATAAACTGACTTTCCCAAATCTTTTCTTTGCATGAGGGGAAAATAACACAGCCCTACTGTACAAGGCTGTCGTGAGGATAAGATAATATATGTGAATCTTTTAGTAAGATAATATGAAGCACTTTTTAATAATAATGTAACATTAGGTGATTTGCAGAGAAAGGCGAAACTAAATTTATTAGCTGCTCTTGAATAATTGGAACACTATTATTCTAAATGTATGTTTATGTGATCCTCCAGTTTACATCTTAATTTTAATTCTGTGCTTGAGGTTTTGTACAGTTGTATAGTGGGGGAAGTTTTCTCTCCATATGTAGCATTTTCCTTTTTGTTGTGTTGACACAGAGTTTTCAGAGAGTGCTGAGCACTGAAAACCGTATCATAATAAAATAGGGTGTACTGGCCAAACCCAGATTGCTATGCTGAATAGATACATTACTTCCCCATTATTATGTGTCAAAAATGGTATGTGATTGCCACAGCACCTTAGAAGGATTGATTCAGAATTTTTCTGTTTTATTGTCAGAGAGTCTAGGATCAACATGGCTCTTAGCATTGTTGTACTGCCACTCTGCAGAGGAAATTAATCATGGGACCTTTAAAAGAAAGCACTGGAGTAATTTGTTTTGGAACTGCAAATCTTAACAGTTAAAATTTCAGAAACTGAGTTCTCGTAACTTGGTGTCTGATCATATGAGTGTTGTACATATTTACTTGTATTTATAATTGCTTATACAGTACAGGTATTTTGTGTTTCTTGGAGGGAGGCATGGTATGATTTTTCTGTAGATGTGTTTGTCCAATAAGTTTGGTGTTAAGTAGACTTTAATAGCAAAACATTCGGGCATATCCAATCTGGCTCTAGTTTGACAACTTCTGCATTCTGCTCTTGTCATAATGTATATAAACTTGTGTGAGCCAAAATCCACTAGGTTCAGTCTGGGGAGGGGTAAGCATGCTTAAGGGCCTTTGAATTCAGGTCAGACATATGAGGGATTGCTTCTCGGTATGTTCATTTGCCTTAGTGCACCAGATGAGTATAGGTAGACAACAGCCTATAAACTTTTATTAAGATAAGTGTTTCTAATCTTGTGCTTATAGGACAACTATACTGTCCAGATGCATTGGGCCATACCATATACAATGTGCTTATTAGCTGGAGGTGACGTGATATGCAACCCAGCCTAACTAGAGGTCACTACACAGGCCCTCGTTCAGGCCAGAATCTGTTATATATTTTATGGCTATTAAAATCCATTCATTTTATCCAAGTGAAAGGTCTGTCAAATATAAGAACATAAGAAGAGCCCTGCTTGATCAGTCCCAGGGCCCATCTAGTCCAGCTCCCTGAATCTCACAGTGGCCGCACAAGATGCCTCTGGTACACAAGACAACTAGATACCTGTCTCCTGATACTACTCCTCTACAGCTGGCATTTGGAGGTACCTTCCTTTTAAGATTATACATCCCCATCATGGCTTGTAACCTGTGATTGGCTTTTCCTCCTGGAATCTGTCCAGTTCCCTTTTAAAGGCATCTAGGCCAGATGCCATCACCATTTCCTGTAGCAAGGAGTTCCACAGACGAACAACATGCTGGGTAAAAAAATATTTTCTTTTGTCTGTTCTCATTCTCCCAATACTCCATTAGAGTGGATGTCCTCTGGTTATACTATTGCATGAGAGGGAAAAGAGCTTCCCTCTATCCACTTTATCCATCCCCTGCATAATTTTATACGCCTCAATGACGTCCCCCCCTCAGGCGCCTTTTCTCAAGACTAAAGAGCCCAAAATGCTGTAGCCTTTCCTCATAAGGGAGAGGGCCCCAACCCAGTCATTTGAGTTGCCCTCTTGTGCACCTTTTCCAGTTCCACTATGTCTTTTTTGAGGTGCGGCAACCAGAACTGTACGCAGTACTCCAGGTGCGGCCTTAATGTGTATTATAGATGGGCAATATCTGCTAGAATTTTTCTGCCCTTCAGTAATGAATTCCTTTAGCGGTTCTTCCGCTGTTATTTCACAACATTTTGATTCTAACCAGCAGTTAAGTTAATTTTAGCAGAGTTTCAACATAAATCAGGAATCATTATAATATAGAAAAAGTAGTGAACATTTGTTTTTCAAAAGGTCAGAAAAACTAGGATTGGAATTATTTTCCTATATTTTGGATTAATTTGGTAGATCTGGGAAACAGGGCTTAAGGGACTTGATGTTTTGTGAGAGTGTGGCAACTTCTTGGAAAAGAAAGCTGTTGGCTTGTGCTTAAGTACCACAAGTGCCGAAGGGAGCACTGTAGTTAGTAGCTCAGTAGCTGTCAATGACACAGAAGGCTAATGGAGTTCCATTTGACTCTAGAACATCTGAGACTGGCCCTGGCCCTCAGTCTGAACAACTTGTAGCTTAAGTAAACACCACTGTGCTCCCAGATACTGTCTTTCAGCTTGTTTCTTTGGAAGTCCTCTACCTGCACAAATCTGGTTTTGCTTGCAACATTCCAACTCTGATGGTAGTCAATGAAATATAATCAATAGAAAATAATTATGAATATTGCTTTACCTGGAATGGAAAGAGAGAGAAGATACTTCCATAGTTTCATTGGATACAGTGGTGCCTCGCTTAACGGGCGCTCTGTTTAGCGATGAAATCGCTTAGCGATGACTTTTTCGGAGCGTTTTTGCGCTTCGTTTAGCGATGGTCCCTCTGGGCAATTTTCACTTAGCAATGATTGGGACCATGCTTCGCATAGCGATTAAATTTTGGGTCCCTTGTTTCGCATAACGATGGTTTAAACAGCCTCATGTTTGCTGTTTTTTAAAATGTTTTTCTGTTATTTATAAAATTAAAGTTTACTGTTTAAAATGTTTGAAATCATAAAGTGCACTTAATAAACCCTTTGTTAACCAAAGTTGACTTTGGTCTGATTCTTTTTTAATTTGTTGTTGTATTTTTTCCCCCATTGAGATGCATTGAATAGGTTTCAATGCATTTCAATTGGGGAACCGTGTTTCGCTTAGTGATGTTTCCTATGGCGATTTTCGCTTAAGGACGGCAATTCGTTCCCATTGGAACGGATTATCTGCTTTTCAATGCATTTCAATGGGAAACCGCATTTCGCTTAGCGATGAAATCGCTTAGCAGTGATTTTTTCAGAACGAATTAACATCACTAAGCGAGGCACCACTGTATTTAAAGATATAACATAAGCAAGAAATAGACAGAGTGATTGTGGGGCATTTGTACCACAGTTGTTACAGTGGTGAAGTGTCAACCATGCATCACACAAATTATACAACTGATTAGCATAATCAAGCAAGGGCCCTGGCAATACTGGTATTCCCTGAGCCTTTAATAGGGTACATTGATTGAAACTGCATTCATGTACATTATTTTCTTCAGTTTAGTCTGTATTTGTGATAAAGATTGTCAGGCACTTCAGGAATTGTTTTCA